TGCCCTACCTGTTCATGGTAGTTTAAATCACTGTAGGATATTAATGGGAATTTATTTCAAGTAAAATACTTGATGAATACTGAATATCTAAAATTGTCAGTTATTTTAATTGTTTCCTGAGCTTTGTAGAGCCTTAACCTTTATGAAAATGTAGTAAGAAAATAGAGGAAATCAGAAAAGCGCAGATTTGGACTTTGACCTAAATCACTATTATCATTTCATACTGGCTCTGCTGACTGTAGTTTTTAACTTTTACTGGCCATCTGTAGAATTATCTTATTTGAGTGAATGGGAGAACAGATATTGTTGCTTTTATCAAGTTATTGGTTTTTTTCCCTTTTGTGTCCGCTTAGGTCTCAGCTATCTGACTATATTTGTCTTCTGGCCTATTCACTTCTCCAAACCTATCTTGATTTATTCTGTCATAGCAACAATAAACTTATAACACTGTCCAATTTGCTGAAATTGCAGGCAAATTCACATCTGTGGGTCCTCTTCCCAAGAGCTGCAGAATAGGAACCCGCCCATGTATGGGACTTGTGGCAAGGCAGAACTTACTCTGTTACACTCAGGTTTTCAATCCCATTGCACCAAACCCCTGCTCATAACAGTCAAATAGCAGCCCATGAAAATGGACAACATATTTTTAAACAATTATCAATGTGATAGGATAAAGTTTTCATCCAGATTAAAACTTTGCAAGAAGCGTTGCCCTCTCACTTTCCTTGGTTTGGGAGACTCAAGTGGGCCGAAAGTGATGTGTTGGCAAGAGGAAGATTGCAGTACAAACAAATTAAGTTAGCTAGTGAGCAGTCATTCTGGCAGAAATTGATGGTGGACTTTTTGTGAAGGAACTAACTTAAATGCTATATATCCTTCAGAAGTAGGGCTTTGTGAATGCTATCTGTAAACCTTTTGCATGACTGTGTGTGTTTTATAAGGCCAGTGAGAGTACATCATTCAAACACCACAATCAAACTGTAGGTTTTACTTTTTTCATGTTTCTTCTCTGGGATCTTTTGGATCTCTCTCCCACCGGTTTCATAAGAGGCCTATGGTAGTTCTTCATTGCACATAATAAATCTGATAAATGTATACTTTTCCTGAGCAAAAAGCTATAGGAAGGCCTGTAGATTTTGTAGACTCATGAATTGCAGATATTCAGTAAATTTCAGGGTTTTTTTTTTTTAAAAAACCTGAAGTTGTTGATAAATCTGTCTTCACAGTAGGATCATTGAAATGGTATTTTTCATCTTGCACTGTAAATGAGATAAGCCCTCTTCCACTATTCGCAGATGATTCAATTGGTAAGTAATTAAAAGAGCTGTTGAGAAACACTGTATCAGTTCTGCTGTGTATTCCTTTGCCAAAATGGCTACCTGCATTTTCATCATATTCTTGCTATCTTAAATGTTTCTTACATATAAACTCTTCCATTTGTTCACTAGCAAATAAGTAAACAGAAATTGTAAAAATAGTAAACTGATACAGTTTATTTGTAGAACTGCTTGTGAATAGTGTTGCTATGTTCATTTAGCTGTATCCCTGTGGGGTGATACAGTCATGCATATTGTACTGGTGATTCCTCTCCTGACAGTAGAAAACAGTCTGTTGTCAAACAGTTGCCATTTGCCATTGCATATTGAGCTGGATTTCCTTCTCATTAAAAAAACCCCAAACAAACCAAAACAAAAACCAACAAAAAACCAAAACCCAAATCAAAAATCTTTTGAGTACAGGATTTGAGAACTCCTTTCCATGATCTCCTGTACTACTTCATCCAGCTCTTGCCTCTGACAGCTCCACTTCTATCCCACCCTGGACATCTGGTTCCAGTTAAGCTGCACTATCAGGAACCCCTGGCATGAGGATCCATAGGCCATCTTGGGATAAGTTATGAGAGAAGGACCAACACGTTGCAAATGAAGACTGTATATTGTTCAGCCCAATGCATTTTCCAAACCACTGAAGAACAGCCCCAGGATCCAGAGGAGGCTATAGAACAAAAAGCAGCTCATCCCTTAGTTTATGGCAAAGCTGGGAAGGGAGGCAGGGGGATGAAAGAGAGGACCAGTAGCTGCTTAAGTTCTCCTCTAAATCTAGTCAATAATAGAATAAAATAGTTCAGTTGGAGGGGGTCTACAATAATCATCTAGTCCAACTGCAACATTCACTGCCCACTTCACTAAATAATCTCTTCTCCCCTAAGAATTCTTTAAATGTGCACGACAGCTAGGTGCACATTTCTGACACCGTTGCTTGAGAAGCTTGAACTTTCTTCTGCAGGTAAGCAGAGCC